TTAATCTAAATATTGATAAGGAAAAAACACATGATGAATGATGCAAACTTCAAATCAATCAGAACCAACCAGATAATCGGAAAGCCCTCGCTCATAAAGCTTCTCAATAGCAGATAAAGCCTCAGGCCTGCAGATACCGAGCAAATAATCAGCAAGAACTCAAATTAAGTATATAAAACAAACAACTCTAGGGAGTAGAATGTTGACTTTGAGAGTACATAGTTTTATGCCATTGTGATACTACTCAGGCTACCAAGCATGTGAAGGTGAAAGCATAAGTTAACGCAGCAGCATACATGAAAAGAGGGAGAGCATATATGATACCGAGTGGAGAGAGAAGCTTCATCCTTAGTCCATTCCTGCCACATAGCAGGGCTAAGTGGAAATAATGCGCTCATAGCTTCCCTAGCTTCTCTTAGCTTCTCGAGCTCACTCATTTTCCTTAGAATCTTTATATACTGAAAGGAAAGGACCATAAGATGTCAAATCTATTAGGAAAAGAGATCACAAGGAATTAACTTATTTTTCAATAAACAAGAGCTTATAAGCTCTCTACAGCATTTAAAATTTCGCATTTATTAAACAACCATGGTCTTATAAGTCATATAGCTTATAAGCTCTTTCAATAGTATTGTTAGAAAATTGTTGGTTCCTAATTATTTTAGAAAGCTTATAAGCTCTCTATGTTGCTCTTGACTAAACAAAATATCAGATTATCATTAATAAATTCTAAAATTTATAACCTATATCTCTATAAAAACACCACGTTACATTGACATTTTTTAAAAAAATTGATTTGGGACAAAAACACCGCCAAACCTAGCAGAACAGCTAACTAGTTATTCTTTGTGCTATATGCATTTGAAAATTTAATAGTTATTCTTAGACAAAACTATATCAACTTACTCACTCTTAGAGAGAACAAAAAACTTTTGGAAGCACTGTAGCTTATAAGTTTCTATAAATAACCTGCCCCAGACACGCCCTCAATAAACAAAAACACAGCTCTGTTCTGCAGTTGAGAAAATACAAGTCAGAGAACTGAAGGTGGGAATCGTGTAACCATCTCTTATTATGGTGGCCGTTAGTGTACAGCTTTTGGTGCTTGATCTACGGCTTTGTGGGGATTGATTGAGTTGTTGCGGGGTCTGTTGAGGGTGAATTATGGGTGTGGGATGGGCTGTATGTTAAAAAAGAGATTGCTAATTTAATTCTTTTGACTGTTTTTTTGGGTCATTTGGAAGGAAAGAAATGGTAGCGCTTTTAATAGTGTTGGAAATAGTTCCAATAGATTAAAAGATAGGTGGATTCACTATTTTGTTAGAACATGACATTGTTAGTGATGTACATTTTGTGAATGTCATTGATATGCTAACATGACGTAAAGCATTTGTACATGGGTGGTACCCCTGTTTTGGTGCTATGTTTTGGTGCATAGATTATTGCTAGTACTCAGAAGCACAAAAAAGACACCACTTTCTGTTTCTAGGAAAAATTTAAGAAATTTCATTTGAGGTCCTGGCGGAACAACTACAATTAATGGACTGAATTTTCTTTCTCAATCGTTTATTTTTGGCTGCTTGTTTTTTCTTTTCAAGATTGGGAAGTTCTCGTTTAACATTTTCCTTTCAAAAAAAGGATTGTGAAATTTCACCTTCAAAGCTTCAAAATCTCCAGTTGCACGAAATTAAATATGTTGCTTTTATATCAAAATCTCCAGTTGCAAAAAATTAAATATACTGCTTTGCTACTTGATTGTCATTCGTAAGTACGTAAATATCTATGCAAATACAGGGGTAGATATTTACTCGAAGAAAGCAATTTTCTACGGCATACACATAAGAGCATATCCCTAGATTGCATGCGGTCATCTGACTTATTAGTACTCATAGGTGAATTTTCGCGTAGGTTTCAAATAAATTTATTCGGTTTCTCGGTAACCCACCACCGGGACACGAAAGCCACGGAACATAGAAACAAACAGAATATGCGAAGAGAGACAAAAATTTACTTGGACATGAGCGTCGTAGTTGGAAGGATTGATAGAGAGTTCATCCTCCAGAGTTTGCAGTTGACTGCTGATTTGAAGTTCGTCGTCGTCCGACTCGCTGGAATCGTCGTCGGAGTCGGAAGATTCGGTTCTTTGTTCGTCATCGTTGTGGATATTCTCTCGTAACTGTGGAGAAATTGGAGCTAATGATTCTTCAGTTAGGTTTTGATCTTCCATGTTCGAGATTTCGGAGCTGCTACTTCGGCAAGTGCGTGCGATTAGCTTATGCGCAGTTGAAATGGAAGGGTGGATATAAGAAATGAAGGCTGGAAGGCTTTGGGGGAAAACTACGAATTTGTTTTAGACTAAAAAAAAATGGAATTATATTTAAAATTAAATTTAAAAAAATTAAAAATTAAAAATTAATTCGGACTCGTTAAAAATAGTGAAAAAACCAAAATAAAATAATTAATATTTTTAATTGCTTTTAGTCTATTTTGAAGTTTTTTTAAAATAAAAAAAAAGAAACCAAAAATAATATGTCAATAATAATTATACCCATTAGTTATATTCAAAAAAAAATTATACCCATTAATTATTATATGGACTTATATAATTTTGTTTTTTTTAAATACTTTATTTATTAGTAGTACTTATTATCTAAACTAATCCGGAGCATGTCATTTTGAAATGGTTCGGTAATTAAACCTTCATGAATTCTTTATTTTTTTTCATTCCAGGTAAAATCCCTTAAAATTTTAACTAATGTCGGATGAATGATATTAGGCAACCCTTCTTTTTTTGTACAAATGGGAAGTTTGGATACAATTCGGATATCAAAAAGATTATCATATAAAATACAAAATTTCTCCGCCGATTCCTTCTCGTCGAGCCTCTCGGTCTGTCATTATATTTCGAGAAGTAGAAAGGATTACAATTCCCGTCCCACCTAAAATTCTCAGAATTTGTTGATAGTTAAAATAGATTCGTAGATCAGGACGACTGATCCGTTTTAAATTTAAAATAATTATATATGGTTCTTTCCTATTTCGTCTATGTCGTAGTGTTAAAACCAAAAAATATTTGTTGTTGAAATGATTACGTTAATATTGAAAAGAAGATTCTCCCAAATGTAAAAATCCAAATAATTTCGTGATGCTGTTGCGATACAATAGCCACTTTATTACAACATCTCGAACCCATTTCACTGAAACTTTTGAGCGAAGAGCTGATAGTGTCTTAATAATTTTCGACAATAAACCCAAATTCAGAACCATCTTCATTTTCTGTCGTCAAGACCTTCTGAATTTGTAGCGCATCAACTTTTACAATGTCTGAACCTGAATGATGCGAAACGGTATCTTTTAATATAATCCGACAATTCAGTAGTTCTGCGAGATAAGAGAACCTACATCCTCGTAGTTTTCCGAAGAAAGCAACCAGCACTCTACCAGAGCAAAAAATTGTCCTATCGACATTGCATTTTTAGAATCCAGACGGTGGCGCCATCCCCTTGTCAGTAATTTCTGTAATTTTGTTATAACATATAGCCGTTATCATATTTATGCATAATAATTTATTATAAATTAATTAAACTATTTTATTTTACAATAATTATATTTTTTATGTACTTTTTATGCATAATAATTGATTATAAGTTAATTAAACTGAAAGTGCGTTTGGCATCAGCTTGTAACTTTTGCTACAAAGGAAAACATTTTTAATCAGATGATCACAAATTCAGAACTGACAGTAATTGGCAGAAGAGACCAGAACAAAGCTTCTGTTGGAGAGACAAGATGGCAGTCTGCAAATCAATACGTACTGGTATGGCGGCCACAAATTACCATCAGCTAAGTAGGGTGAGACATGTATTATTCTATCAAAGAAGCAGAGAACACAAATTTCATTGTGACAGAAACAGTGAGAATGTTGTTTATCGCAGTTCAAGTTGAAAAGCACCGTATGTCTATCGCTGGAAGCAACGGCAAACCTCCATGAATAGTTTGTAAGGAGCAATTCGTATGCTTGCTTATTCGCAACAGCTAAGTCGCGAAAACAATAGTGCGTGCGAAAGCAAAACATGAGAATGTTGCACTTTCAGTTGCTGATGACACTCCTAAATTTAACTATGCGTTCTAGTGCCTGCTCAAATTCGTTGTCTTCCAGCGCGAATGTGAAGCGACAATAACCCGGAATTCCAGTCCATGAGCCACTGTTGAGACACAATCCAGTTTGGTTGACAAAGACTTCCCTGATATTTGAGTCATCAAGCTTGATTCCGTCTTTAAGTGCATTTCCAAGCTTTACAGTTTTGTTAAGGTAGGCCGTCGGTTTTGCTACCATTGAAACACCAGCACAGGGTTGAATGACGTCCCACCCACAGTTCTCGAGTGTCTGTTGTTCACATTTACCACAAGAAAATAAAGGTCTTAGAGTATGCAATTCATTGATTCCACTCTCCAAACAGATAGAGATACATACAAACACACACTGTAATCGCACAAAACCGATCACTGTCTAATATTTCTCAGATCTATTCCATCTCTGCTATTTATCCACAGAATAGTGGCCATATTATTCCCTCGGCTTATCTGTCTTTTTGCATGCCCACTTCTTCCAAGGTTCGCAGTTCCAAATTGTCTAAGTGTATGTGTTTTAACTAAATGTTTTTGTTAATCTTGATAAATTAGGCATGAGATGAATTATTTGCCATAAAAAAATAAATCTCTAATTAATTAAAATTCTTCATTAAGATTTTATTCAAATTCTTGCCAGTTTAATTCTTCATCTGGTAGCCAAATTTTCTGGACTCTTAATTAGGTCATAAGTTAAGTTAATTATTCTATTGGTTGTCGTTGCAATTACTGGAGTTTGTAAGATGCATGGAGCTAATTTATTTGACAGAACCTAGTGATAATTGGAGTTGTAATATTTTGGAGAAATGTTCTTCAACATTCCATCTATGATGTTATCTCTTCACCTATTTAGCCTCGAGGAAGACAAATAGAGACACAAGAGAATCAAGAAAGAAGAACAATAGTTGAAAAATATTGAGTATTTGTGAGCATATTGTAAATCTAATCTTTTAGAGCTTTTCATCTTCTTCTCAATTACGGAGTTGTGTGACTTTCTATTAAAAGAATAGCTGTAAAGACTTAGCAAAATTAGTTAAATGTACAATTGTTAAGACATCGGTCTATAATTAGTTAATGTACAAGTATAAGGAATAGTTCTACCTTAGACATTAAAAGGTAGGGGCTGCTTAGGAAGTTGGTTCTACCTAAAAATGTTAATATACAAGTTCATTGATTTTACCTTAAGCCATATTCAAGTTGATTATACTTTAGCCATTAAAATATTTTCTAATCTTCATTTTAGTGAATGGTTTCAAATCTTTACTACCTTTAGCCATTAAAGATATATTCTAGTCTTCATTTTAGTGAAGGGTTTCAAATCCTTACTAATGATAGCTAAGGTAATAGATATAATCATTTGAGGACCAAATTGCTATAATAATTGTGTTAGCTTTCTTACTAGCCCCTTTTCTCAAGAAAATAAATTCTCTCAAGATCTAGAGTCCAAACAAGCAATTTCTTCACTCCTTGACTAATCTCTTTTTCTGAAATGTTGGATAAGCTCAGGCAAAATTCTCTCATGGTTGCAGTAAATCCTTTAAGAATAGGTCTACTACAGATACGATTGGTAGTTAAGCAATTTTCTGGACACAATAATATCACAGAACAAATTTAGTCTGAATTAGATCCTACAGTACGCATACAAAATTTAGCCATGCTGTTTACGGAGAAATCTTGATAAAATGAAAGGATTTTAAGCAATAAAAGAAAAGGATATACCTCCTTCAAGCGCTTAGATCTGTCCTCCAAATTTCTTACTTGTTCTGCAATCACATCCAAAAGTTCTCCTGGTCTTTGCTCTCTCAGATTGAGCAACTTTTTTACAGCATATTTACTAGTGGTATGTGGTTTGCTTAATCCAGGAAAGCTATGAAATGCGTCAACCAAAATTTGCTGGTTTAAAGCCAGAAACCCAAATTTTAGTGCTCCGTTAAGCAAATTCAGAGACATCCCTCCAAGTAGAGACACAGAAAGAGGTGGGTTTAGCTTTGATAATGTGCTTTCCAAGTTCCAGCCACCCCAGCCATTGGAGTTGAATTCCAATCCTGAGAATGAAGTATCAATAACAACTCTTGCCCCAAACTTCGTGCAAGTACTTAATATATCTTCCATCTCTTTGTTGCTGTAAAGCAAACCAGTTGGGACAATTGTGGGACCAGAAATGTACACCCATGGCTTCTTCACAGTCTTAAGTACTTTGGTAAGCATCTTGTCTGTTAGCTTGAAGTTATCGCTGCAATCAGTAGGGATACTAAAAACATTTGCTTTTAAGAATTTTGCAGCAGAAACATAAATCCCATTTGAGCCAGATGGGAAACATAATGTTCCACCTTCTTGAATGCAGCAAAGAACGAGCTTATTAAACAAGGCCTGTGGGCCATCTGCATACACAAGTTCTGTGGTGCTATCAGTTGGGAAACCATAATTGCTCTTAATAAATTGTTTGATACTAGGGGCGACATCGATTTCGGACTCAGCCATGTTCTGTCTCGCAAAACTTTCAAAAATAGCAGCTTTCACAGGAGAAGGTATGGGTAGGAAGCTTTGATCCACATCCATGTGAATCAACAAACTGTTCTCAGCATCACTAATTGACAACTCAGCATTGTCCAGTAGAGAAATGGCTGAATTAGAAAACCCAATCATCTCTCCTGACTTGGCCTTTTCACTTTCCCTCTAAATAGCATTCAACAAAAGTTGGTTCAATAAGTGAAGTTCTAATCATGAATAACATAAAAAGGATTACGATAACTTCATAGCCACTCAAAAATGTTATATGCTTAAAGAAACAATTAAATGACAATTTCTGAACTGTAAAATGTAATTAGCAGGCAATGTGACTTCAAAATTAGCCAATATCTGGGATAAACACGAAAAGAAAATGTGGATTCCAAAACCCACTAAAGAAATGTATGGTTTACCATAACAACTTTTTTCTCTATTCTCTACATTGCAAGCCCACAGAAACAACCAGAACAAATATGGCTATTGTTTGCTTGTGCATGATGAGATGCATGTTTCATCCTTTTAGCACAGTATACAAATTAGAATTTTGCAAGTTCAATATAACTCTACAAATGCTATAGAACAAATAAAAGGACTGACAAACCTCGGCAGCTGGATGTCGATCAGCAAGCTGAAATGCTAGCAGTTCATGGAAAATACATCCATAATAATTTTGACTTATTGGAGCAGTATTCCCTTGTAATACTTCCACGGTCTTGGACAAGGCCTTAAAAATTGCCTCCTCTTCTGTAATGACAAAGGCGACTTCTAAATCTGAATAAACCTGTAAAGAGTTCTCTGTTACTAGCAAGATTCAAATAAAACAAATAAACAAGAGTGTGATAAAACAAAAATTTTAAAGGAAAAAAGAAAACCAAAATCAATGTTAAATCCTCTATTTTCCAGCACAGAAAACAATAACTCTTTGATTTACTGCATGGAATGAAAAGCCCATTCTGATAATATTCTGGCTGATATACATGCATCTACCTGATTTTTCACCAGGCCACAAACTATTGCTGCATGTGAGGGTAGAGGATTTCCTGCCAGATATTTTAGGACCCCGTTGGAACCAGGAAGGCTGGATAATTCAAAGTGATCAGATATGTCTAAAAAAAGACGACATCCAACTTCTCTTGTAATATCTAACAGGTGCACAAAAGCTGAGCTCGTTACAGCCTCAAAGTGAGCCATCCCAGTAACCACAACCTGTGGCTTCAGTTTCTTTATGAGCTCTATCATCAAATCAGACTGGTGTGGTGCTTCAATGACAGTTAATTCATCTTCAGATGAATCACCAGTAGCAGTTCTCTACAATTTTAGTAACAAATATTAGTGTTACATATATAGCAGCTGGAGTAAAGTTCTTAAAAAAAACATTCTGCTACTTCAACACTAATAGACATGATGTTACTGTATTGATCTTCTCAAGGCAAAGGCTATTTGTTCTTATGGTAACTCAGACAACAGATATCGACCAAATGCCTCTCAAAAGGAGTTAAGCAATCAACCAGAAGGAAATTAAGCATGTAAAGTAATGATGTCTTTTCAAAATTCAGATAAGAACTCATATAAATGCTATAAGAAATAAAACGAGTCCATATTCAGTAAAGCCCAAAAAAATTAAATAAAAGGGCCATAATCATTTAGATCTTCTGGACAAACTTTGAAGATAAAAAGGCTGAGCATTGCACTGCCACAATAGGGAGACATCATTTGACAAATGATAGACTATCTGACTACAAAATATGCACTAAAATCAAAAACATAAAATATTATCTAAAATTGAGGTTGTATCATAAACAGAGACATTAAGCAATACATCGAACTAGCAAACAGAAAACAACTAGCAATATGACAGATCTATATGGTTAGACGGTTCAGCACATGACACAGACTCGCATGCATATATGACACAGCTAAATTTGTCTACCAACATTCTTAATAATATAGTAATAGTATGATTGTTAACAAAAGGTCAAACCACTTTGCAAAGAAGGTGACTTCTGTAAGCGTTTCTTAAATTTATTGTCACAATGTTGTGTACTTCTTTATCTCCATAAAGATATAAACTAAATAAACTGAACAGGGAGAATAGCTGAGGAATGAAAAACGTCGAACTTGGTCATCCATGACCTTTAACAGACAATAAGGCACAGAAACTAAAAACTTACACTGTGAATACCCAGTTCACCAGAAAAGAAAAGTAAGATGTCATTCCTTACAAGCATCATTGGGTGAAAAGAGGTCAAGAGAATAGAAAAGAAAGCATTAAAACCAAATTTAATTCAAATTAATTCCGTTGATATAAATACAAAGGAAGGAGACAAAGCTTGAAATAGAATAATATTCTAACTACATAACTAAGCTAGGTGGATTTTTTGTTCTTTAGCCAAGTATGAATCTACCATGAAATTGAAAATAACAACAAAATTTATTATGTTGTAAATTAAATATAAAAAATAATGATCCAATCCAACATATCAAGTAACCAAGGTCAAGAAACTAATAGGAGTTTAGCCAAATAAGCTGTAAGTTTCTAATACGGACAATAGACAGAATTTTGTAGTGACCAGTAAGAGATCGTTGGATTTGGCTGTTTCAACTCATCAATCTACAACAAGTCTAGTGCCTTGTAGTTAATAGCAAATATTCATCGAGGAATTAACTGGGAATGTTTGGGTTTCTAGTTTCATATTGTCAGGTCAATTAATAACCCTAACACCACAGCAAAAAGTCTACTCTTGATGATAAGGTTGAAGAACATTAATAGCAGGATTTTGTTTGCCTGCATGTTATGAACAGTTTTTCCAACTAAGGGCCTGTCAGATTCACCCAGTTAAGATAAAATAAATTTTTGTTTGAGGAAACTTTCACCTAAAGTTTCAGCATAAGAACTCTTACCACCACTGTTAACTAACGACCACCTTTGAAAGACAAAAAAGCATAGCAATCTCATGACTGTAATTTACATTCTATTGGAGTCCTCATGGATAATAAACTCTTACCTTTACTAGAATATTTTAGAAATATAACATACCTCAAGTGCTAAGTTTGTTAACCATTTCCTGGGTAGATGTCGTGTCAGGTGCTCATCAACAACAGCAAGACGAGGGGAGAATAACCGCAGAGCACTCTCAATCGCCACAGATCTTGATGGAAAGACAACAATATTCTTGCAGGAATTGGGAAAAAAAAGAAAAGTCAGTTGAGAAAAACAACTATAGTTTGTATATTAAAAAATTACATAATACCTCCAAAGTTCAGTTAGTTCCATGAGAACAAACAACTGAATCAGTTTATAAGAAGACAACAAACTTCAGAATCATTTTGAAGAGAGATATTCCAATCTCAATAGTTATTGAGAAAACTCAAAACGAGTACTTTACTGGCTTGTATCTTGCTTCAAAAGTGAAATTTCAAAGATATTTATAATATTTAAACATAGAATCCTAATCTGACTCTAATTACAAAATTCTTATATAAAACATGCAACTTAAAAGAATTTAAACTATAAATAAAAACCTAATGCTTGGAAAGTTCTAATCTTATCCACGCTATTATAGAAATTTTAGATTAGCTATACATAGAATTCCTGTTCTTATTTAGGAATTCTATGTCTGATTCACTCTGAATCCTACTTCTTAAAACCATTTATCAAAAGCAATCCATATGATATGGAGTTCTCAATGTTTTCAGTGCTGATGTCTTCTATAGAACTCTTCGTTCTAAAGATAAAAAGTCTTTAATGTGAAGCCCGAACAGTTGTTCTAAGGCCAGATTACTCAATGAATACTCCTTAGGGAGGAAGAACCGATGATCTACGATATAACAAAAAAAATTCCTGAAATAGGAGTTAACAGAAAACCTTGAAAGCAAACATTTTGAACAGCATAACTAGGTCACACATGAAGTAGCAAACTTTTCTTACATTGGAAGAGAGGGGAATACGGTGGTATGTTTTCATAAAGCCAGCAACAAGATTACGAAATCTTTGGCTTCCAGCTGGTGGCTCAAATGAGAAATACGAATTCTCCTTCAAAACACTGGCAAGATAAGCTAGGAATGGGATCTTCTCATCCGCAACAGAATCATCCTCAAAAGATAAATCTAAGGAACTGCTGATCTCTTGAAAGCCACTTTTAAGAAACTCAAAAATTATCTTCACCTGTGAAGTTATGCAAATCATAATCCACCTAATTCACTTCAAATCAAGGACAAAAGAGAGATAGCCTTCTGGAAATTCAAGCCTAAAATTGATGAACAGACCTGAGCTGGTTGACGAAGTTGACAACTGTAAACTGACAAAGCATGAGAGATACGACCACCAGATTTTCCATATGCCCATGCTGTTCGAGCACAAATAGGCTGGTCTCCGGAAAGTCCCATAAAAAATTCAAAACGGTGTGGACTGTTCTTCTCAATTTCAACCAAGGCTGAAATATCTGTATCAGCTGCCTGTGACAACACATTTTAAGAGGAGCTATTTTCCAATGGAGAAACATTTTAAAGAGAATATTTGATTTACTTACTTGAAGAATTTTAGTCTGCCAAAGCTTGGTGACACGAACACCACGACGTTCAAACAGGCGTTCACAAACAGCTTGCCCAGGACGACCTCCCATATTGAAAATCATGATACCAAGAGGTTTGATTACAGATATTCCTTCCTCCACTGCCCTGGCAATGAGACCTAAGCCAAACTGGTCTTCAACAAAACCCTGTGTGAAAATGACATTACAAAATAAAAGTAAAACATGATTAGATACACAAGTGCTGATTATTTAATCATATGGATGACTTGGATAATGTGATCAGAGAAAAGTTTCCTAATATCTGCAGCATCCACATTTTTATCCAAATTAAATACCAATTTGAAACATATTTCAAGATTTTTAGATAGAAGAAAACCAATTTGAAAAAACCATTGGGATTAAGTTACTAAGGATCTTTTCCTACCTGAAGTGCACAATAGTTACTCAAAGAATGTAGAAATTCTTCACTTGCATTTTCCGTGATCATCTTAGACATAGCATCTGGATTTGGATTAAGAATCTGCAGTAGCAGTACAAAGGCAAAAAGTTATATGTCAATTTGATCATCACGGTAATTTTCACCATCTTAAATGCCACTAGATAGATAGGCAATTAGTCTCTTCCTAATCCTACCTGAGGTATGCATCCAACAATTCGTTCAAGCTGAATGCCATTATCCTTAAAATAAGCCAGAAGATCAGACTCATGGAACTCCACTCTGTCCAGTAAAGTTTTCTTCTCTTCATCATAGATGGGTTGACCCCTCTCATCCAGAGCATTTAAGTATAGGTTTATCCAAGAGACCTTTACTGCTCTAGGATTAATATCGAGGCCATACACCTGCAATATATTATTTATGCTTTATTTATGGCATTTCCAAATCAACAGCATCCCTCCATAATAATTAAGGGCAAAGGACCAAAGTAAGTTCAATTGTTTACATCATATATGCATGCATACAAGGACAACTATCAATGAGTTAGCATGTCCTTTGGTTTCATAAGTAGAGAAGGGTGTGCACGAAATACCACATTCATGCACAATTGCTGTTAAATTGCTGCTAATTATGAAAATGGAACATTTAAATTAAATCAGTGGCATCAAGGAATAAAAGAACCATCCTCAGCTTCTGCCATTTGGGATGGTAAATGATTAAAACAAACCTTCAAAGGCAACCACTTCTCAGCAATGGCAATGGATATCCATCCATTTCCACAGCCAAGCTCTGCAACTGTTCTGTCCTTGAATATAGAGTCTGGATGTCTGTTTAATCCTTCATAAAAAGTGAATGACCAATCTTCAGGGATAAAAATACTGGGGATCACCATCATTGTCAGTTTCTTCCTGCCCTGATAACCTGAACATGGAAAAGGAGTTGTTAAAGTAGACGAACAGATGAACCTGCCGTATTCAACTAATATTTTCTAATATAAATTGAAAACCAATAACATGAATGAGGTGAGATACAATGTTAACAACTGGAAATGGTACACAGAACTTACATATCCTTGGTAAATTTAAGTCAAGCTTGAATTGTGTTCATATTTAGACTGCCCTATAAGTAGATAACAACTAGTAACTGAAATGGTCTGTCCACAAGGTTGGCAGCATAATGGAAGTGAACTTTCTTCCTTCCTTGACCCCCTTCAATCCTTACTATGACTCTCTCTGATCACATTCTCCGAGTCATCCAAATGATTGGATAAAATATAAAACATTTGTTTGGTTCAACATCATATTGTGTTATACATTAAACCAATCAATCATTTATGATCACGTAGGCTTAAAACTTCTTCTCATATCTATTTGAGTTGCTATTTCCATATTCATTGTTTTCTTGTTTACTGTTCGATCCTCTTTAATCAAAAAGCCCTTGTGTGGAAAAAAAGAAACCGAAGGGCTTTTTATTCAAGATGATTAAACAGTTAACAACAACCATGCCTCCAACATAGTATTTTATCAGATCACAGTTCAGTATTTTATAAAACATGGTATATAAGGTTAAACCAACCAAATATGCACTAACAAATTTTGAACTTAAAGGATAAAATTGATAACTAAAACTTCTCGCATATAATTCAAGAAAAAATATTTTATCCTTTCATCTTGCAAGAAGCTTGGGATGCAGAGCATCGGAGTTGTGAGTTCATAACAAATACGAATAAAATTCACATCAACAGTGGATAATGAGGATTTTAAAAAAATTGTCAAAAAAAAAACGAGTGCCGAGGAATTTTATGAGATCAAAAACTAAACTTTATCTTTATCAGCAAGAAGATGGTCTTGGAAATCGGAATTAAAGTGACAATCCAGAAAGGATAAAAGAACAACGAAGTGACGGGAGTGTTTCCTGCTAGCAGCCTAGTTGAGAAAACGACAAAATGAGTAAATCATTTCAAAAAATAAGAATAAATACTATTCGATAAAGAAGCTTCGGTTTTCGTTTTATTGGGAAATGCACCGCAGGAAAAGGAAAGGCATCAAGACTCCAGGAACCTGTTTGGTTGCTGAGAAAAACCGTAGAGAAACTCAACAAAAAAGTGGAATACAATCATTTCCTAAGTCAACGGCCAATGAAATACTCGAAAGATTTAGGCAAAAGAACTATTACACCAGACAAGCCAGATACCAGTCATATGTAGCTCAGTTGAACTGAATTTACAAATTTCCTGCGTCCTCTCAACTACACAAAAACATTTAAATATAGGACACATATGTACACGCTACCGAAGCAGAAATGAAATCAAAATACAACAATATACACATATGTAACACAAACATAATACACCGTTGAACACCTTATTACATTTTACCTTCACGGAAGAAAACCGAATGCGTACAAAAGCGTATACGTACATACAGGATAATAAGGTATACATACCTTCGTATTGATCCAAGTAGATATCCTGGATCCGGAAATGATAAGTCTGAAGACACTGATCGGAGGAGCCGACTCGATTGTAGAGCTCAGAGAGGAAGATCCGCGCACGAGTTCGGGTATTCGGATCCTCGAGGCGTTCAAGTACGGATCTAAAAGCAGCGTAGGCGGCATCACCGGACTGCCGGCACTCCTTCAGGAAGTCATCAACGGAGTGAAACGCCATTGTCGGAGTGTGTAAAAGCTGTGAAAATTCAAAACAGAAATGGAAATTGTGAGTGATGTTGTGATGAATTACGAGATATGAATTTTTGTAGCTTGGCGGTTCCCTCTGGTTCGTCGTTTAGCTCCTCAAAGAGTGTAGAGGTTTTTATTTGCCTACTCCTCTCCGAGGTTTCTTCGCTCTCGGTATTTATATACATCTCCGGCGTGAGCAGTACAATGTACCTGTGTATATTCGCCACGTAATACCTGTATGTAATAATTATTTTATATAATTTTTATTATCTTTTATAAATATTTATAAAAAATAAAATAAAAAGATTAGGTAGAAGTTTTAAAAGATTATATATTTAATAATATTTATTATTGTAAATTTTAAATATAATATAAATATTTTAATTATTAAATTATTATATTATTTTTATTATTAGTAAAAATTTTGTATTTAATAAAATATGAAATAAATTTTTAATTCAATCATAATCTTAATTTTTTATTATAATTGAATATTTAAACTTTTATAAAATTATTCTAAAATATAGTTTTTTTTTACCAAAATAATAAAAAAAATTAATATAAAATATAATTTAGAGATATAATATTTTTATTTAGAATTCAATATTAAAAAATCAAAAAATAAATATCATAATTTTTTTTTAATTTATTAACATATGTTATTATTATTTGTATTACTTAATAGTTTTTATTATCAATACGAGATAAAATACATAGTACTTAACTTCATTATAAGATCGAGCAATAATTGTTTACTTCTTATCGATAATTCTTTGAATCGTTATTTTCTGTATTGGCACTTATTTTTTAACACTTAAACATAAGATAATTATACCTACTGGAGTAAATCGATGACTGTGATATTATTGGTAAAAAAAATAAATAAATTTAATTTTATTAATAGTTTTACTTCGAGCACTGATGAGACTGATAAATTTCAACGAACATATTATATTAATAGATAAAAAAATATTTAATAATAATTAAATTTCTTTAGTTAAAATAATCATAACGGATTAAAAATGAAATATATTATTTTTTTCATTCAGAAAAAAAAAAATTATTACTTTCTAAAATTTTTTAACTTAGAATTCCTGTAAAATTATCAAAGTATAAATATTGTCAAAACCCGTGACACTTGCATAATTGCATTGACTCAACTACTTCTTCTCTATTTTTTAGCAATTTGGATGAAGTCCCTTCCAAATCTAAACTAATATAAATATATATATGTAACACCCAAAAATATTATTATTATTATTTTATTGTATTAGTTTTAATTAATTCTAAATAAATATAATTAAATATTAATAAAATTTAATTTATTTTAATAGAAATAATAATAATAAAAAAACAATAAAAATGGGTAAAAATTATTTAGAGATTTAATTAAAAATAATTTTAGAAAAATGAGTGAAAATTTAGGTTCTTGGAGTATTTTTGAAAAAAAATTTGAAAATCGAGGGTCAAAACGTAATTTAAAAAAATTGTGCCACATCAGCTGCCCGGTCAGCAACCCCGGCTAACCAAGACACGCCGTGTGGCAGAGACGCTGAAGTGGGAGGCCAGGCGGAAGGGAGCCGCGTGGGCGATTCGCGTGCGCGCGAACGAACGGCTGAGATCCATTCTTGCGCGCTCGGACAGCCCAGATAAAAAGCACGCACGGACGGCCCAGATTGCACGCGCACGGACGGTCCAAATTCATTTCCTATTTAATCGCGATCGGATGACCTAGATTAAATTGTGATGGACAGCTCAAATTAAAAGTGGAATGTTATAAATAATCTAATCCTCACCCAAACCCTAACCCTAACCGCCAGAGCCCCTCGCCGGAGAAAACAACTCAGCCACTGGGGAGCCAACCGCCGCCACCCGCCACCAACCGAGGTAAAAATTCTCCCCTTGGCTCAGAATACGATTTTAAACCCACCTATGGCTAAATCGGAGCCAAAACACGGGCTAATTGGCCGAAAAACGTCATCGAAGCCCAGTGGCGCCGCCGCGGCTTGTCTCAGTTTTTACCTCCGATGAGGCCCTTTCCAGTTCCCGTTCAACGTAATTTTTCCACTATTGTGATCACCGTTTCCTCCTTTACAGGTTGACCGAAGTAAAACACCCAACCGCAACGTGAGCCGAAGGAGCCGCCGCACCGGAGAGCCCCGCTGCCGGTAAGTTTCTGTTTTCTGTATTTTTTCGACCCACCGAGGGCCTTACGTATATTTTCTCGTAGAAACTGGTGCAAGTTTGGCTGAATTCGGCCGGAAACGGCCAAAAACAGCCAACCCGAGGCGGATCACCGCCGCGGGCGGCTGAGCTGCCGTGCCGGAATTTCGAAATTGGCCAAGTAGGCCGTGGGTTTGATTTTTGAGTTATTTGGGACATGTGTAGATACCGTAAGAGTGTTTTGGTTCTCGAACAAAAATTTAAGAAATTTAGGGACTGCCCGTAGGTGCAGTGAAAATTCAGTTTTCGATTTCGAATCAGGTAAGGATCCCTCACCCTATTTCCTATCGTAGAATTAAAGTTCGAATAAATATAAATATTGTATTTTTGCAATTAATAGATATGTATAATTAATTAAGGTTGCTAATGGACCCCGAATCGGACATATTTTTCTGTCAGTTTCTGTTTAATTTATTTTACAGTTTTAAATATATTATTGTATCTAGTTTATTCATTCTATAGTTTTGAATGCATGAATCACTGTTTACTTCAATACTGCTTGATTTTGTGAATTTAGGATATGTTTGCCTTGTTGGATGCACGTTACTTGTTTATGTATTCATGTTTGAATGAGTAACAGAGACTAAGGACAAATGAGAATGGAATTGAATTGATAATTGGATAAAATGACAGTCTCATTAAATATCCTGGAAAATGGTGGATGGACCAGGTCCATAGAAAACCCTACCGGAAACGTTGTCTCATACCGAATAGGGTATGGAGACTTTAAATATTTTGGTGCTCATACCATATGGGGTATGGGAACGACCCGCTTCACCCTCATATCGGACGGGGTATAGAGGTTTATTATTTGGCGTCCATACCGGATGGGGTATAAGGACAGCCCTGAAAATTAAGTTTGTTAAGGGAATAGTTCACGTGTAGCGGGGACCCCTATGGATCCTCATGGATATTACTAAGCTGATAAAAGCGGGTAATTGCTGTTTGATGATTGAAATATAAAAGTATGACATGTGCTATGTTACAGAGTATGTATGAATTCATGATATCTATGATGTTATTGTTTCTACGGGTCGTTTTTATAAATCTCACCGAGGTAAGTGGACGGTAAATGGTTTGATTATTGATAAATAAATTTGTTTAAAAATTGTGCTCCATTTGTTGTTTTTATTTTTCTACCAACCTTTACTTCTGTGACAGTGATATAGTGTGACGTCCTTACTGGG